AGTAAATGAAAAATTCCCAGACAGTCCAAAAAATTTCCAAGTGAGATTTTTTTAGCTGCTTTAAGATCACTTAGAGAAGCGAGATTTTTACTTTCAAATGATGTTATGAGCTGGATTCAGGAATTTTTGGTTTTTTCTTGAGGAATTTTTGAAAACCTTCTGTTTCCTACTCGCCTTAGTAACTAAAAAACTCTCGAAACTTTTGAAATGCTAGAAATTGCCTATAAAAGTGAGTTTTTCCTCACTTAAATATGCGGACTTTTTGAAAAATTCGTCAAGGAAAAACCAAAATTTATCAATCCGGCCCATGATATTAGTCCGCAGATGGAAAAAGTCCGTGGGAAAAAAGTCACTTGATTAGGAAATTTCTGGGAGTTTCCAGGATGTTTTCTGTTACTAAGAGGAAGCCATTAACCGTTCTATAAATAGACAGATTAAAAAAAATTGTAAGAAGAAACCGAAAATTTTAATGCTGCCGAAATTATAACTCAAAAGAGAAAATCTGCCGCTTTAAATCAGGAAAACCTCACTTTAATTGAAAATTTCTGGGAGTTTTCAGGATTTTTTCAGTTACCCAGGCGAGTCGACTGACCGTTGGTAAACATGAGTTTTTCAAAAAATTGTCAAGGAAAATACAAAAATTCCTGAATACGGCCCATAACATCACTCGAAAGAGTGATCGGCTGTTTTAAGTGAGGAAAAACTCAAACTCACTTGATTACGAAATTTCTGGGAGTTTCCAGGATGTTTTCAGCTACTAAGTGGAAGCTATTGGCCGTTGCGTAGATAGGCGGATTAAAAAGAAATTGTCAAGGAAAAACCGCAATTTCTCAAGCCTGTCCAGAATATGAATTTAAAGAGAAAAGCTGCGGCTTTAAATCAGAAAAACCGCACTTTAATAGAAAATTTTTGGTACATAGGAGTTTTTGGGATTTTTTCAGATACGGAATCGAAGCGATTGGTCGTTGAACAACACGTATTTTTCAAAAATTTACCCAGGAAGACAAATATTCCTTTATGCTGCTCATCAGATCACTCGATAGAGAAAATCGGCTGCTTTAAGTGAGGAAAAATTCACTTGAGTAGGAAATTTCTTAGAATTTTCAGGATGTTTCCAGTTACTAAAGGAACACGATTAGCCGTTGGTATAGACGGATTTTCAAAAAATTGTCAAAAAAAAACCAAAAATATCTCAAGCTAGTCCAGAATATCACTAGAAAGCGAAAATCTGTTGCTTTAAGTCAGGAAAACCTCACCTTAATAGGGAATTTTTGGGAGATTTCAGGATTTTTTCAGATACCCAATCGAAGCGATTGGTAGTTGAACAACACGAATTTTTCAAAATATCGGCAAGGAAAAAATTTCTCAATCCGGTCCATATACAACTCGAAAGAGAAAGTCCGGGGCTTTAAGTGACGAAAAACTCACTTCAATATAAAATTTCTCTGAGAGTTTTCAGTATTTTTTCAGTTGCCAAGGCAAGGCGATTGACCGTTGGAAAAGACGGATTGTTTTTCAGGGAAAAACGAAAAAGCCCCAAGACTGTCCATCATTTAGCCTAAGGATGGGAGAAAAACATCGATGTTTCGCAAAGATCGATGTAATTCGTTCGATGTTCGATATTTTTACCATCAAAGTTGGAAATTTGAGACATCGATGTTAGATCATGAAATGAAAACATTAGACATTTGATGTTGATGCTAGAAAGAAACATTTTCTGCGAACTATTTGATAGTGCTGATACAAACGATATCGATATCGATAAAATGTTATAGTAGTAGTAAAATAAAATTATTTAAGTTTTTAAGTTAGTCAATTTGAAATTTGTATGCAACGGCAAACTATCAGAACATCGATGTTGTGAAGAACATCGATGTTCTGCGGCCGTTGATGTTTCCCTAACATCGATATTACCTTTCGATGTCAACATCGATGGCTACCATGGATGTTATAGGATCGATGACCCATTCCTAATTTTAGCCTGCTCTCGAAAGAGAAAGTCCGCAGCTTTAAGTGAGGAAAA